GGTGTAGCTGAAATCTCTTATTTGGGACATATGGTATCCTCCATTGGAGTGAAAGTTGATCCTACCAAAATCTCAGCCATGCTTCATTGGCCAATTCCTCAATCGATCAAGCAATTAAGAGCATTTCTAGGCCTCACAGGCTATTATAGAAGGTTTGTCAAAGGATATGCTTCAATTGCTCATCCTTTAACCTAGCTGCTGAAACAGGACAAGATTGCATGGAAATCTGATGCGAAATTGGCTTTTAAATCCTTAAAGGAAGCAATGGCTGCTACTCCTGTGCTACAGTTGCCCGATTTTACAGCTCCTTTTATTGTTGAATCAGATGCTTCGAATTTGGGAATAGGTGCAGTGTTGATTCAATGTGGCAAACCAATTTCTTTTTTTAGTAAGAAACTTGGTCCAAGGATGGCAGTAGCTGCAGCTTACATCAGGGAGTTATATGCCATTACAGAAGCAATCAAAAAATGGAGACATTATCTACTTGGCTCTCAGTTTGTAATTAAGACTGATCATCAAAGCTTGAGAGAATTATGGCATCAAACAATCCACACGGCTGATCAACAGAAATACATTTACAAGTTGATGGGGTACAATTTTACAATTGAATACAAATCAGGTGCTGCTAACATTGTAGCCGATGCTTTATCTAGGCAATTTCCAGACGAGGATAAGGCTGTCATTCATGCTTTATGTCCAGCACCTACTTTGGATATTTGGGAGCAAATTAGAAAAGAGAACACAACAGATCCAGAGCTGATCCAATTACACAATACCTCCGATGCTGGTACAAATACTGATCTTGAATTAACTCAACGTGATGACATTTTATTTCTCAAGGGCAAATGTGTATTAGGCTCCAGGTCCACTCTTCGACAAATATTATTAGTAGAAGCACACTGCACTCCTACAGGAGGACATGCAGAAGTCCAACGTACTTTCCTTAGGTTGTCTGCATCATTTACTTGGAGGAATATGCGAAAAGATGTTAAAGGCTTTGTTCGAGACTGTGTGGTGTGCCAACATATTAAACATTCAACACAGGTTCCTTTTGGATTGTTAGAACCCTTGCCAATCCCAGATGCTATGTTTGATGATTTAACCCTTGATTTTATCACTTGTCTTCCACAATCTACTGGGTATACTACTATATTAGTAGTGGTGGATAGGCTCTCAAAATATGGTCATTTTGGCCCATTGCCATCTTCTTATACAGCAACGACAACAGCCCAGCTATTTTGTAATATGATAGTTAAACTCCATGGATTTCCTCGATCCTTGCTTTCTAACAGAGATGCAATTTTCATGAGCAAATTTTGGAAGCAGCTGTTTCAACTGAGTGGAACGAAACTGTTAGCAAGTTCAGCATATCATCCTCAAACAGATGGTCAAACGAAAGTTACAAACCGTTATGTTGAACAATACCTGCGTGCCTTTTGTTCAGAACAGAACCATCATTGGTCTCAAATGTTGTGTTGGGCTGGAATTGCACTACAACACCTCAGTACATTCAGCAATTAATATGTCTCCATTTCAGGCACTTTATGGTAAAATGCCAACTCTTATTCCTTCATATCAGAAGGATCAGACTCAAGTGGAGGCTGTCGATATGATGTTGCAAGAGAGACAGGTAGTGCTTGATCATCTTAAGCTGCAATTACAAAGGGCTCAACAAAGAATGAAACAGCAAGCAGATAAACATAGACAGGATAGGAAGTTTCAGGTAGGAGATCAAGTATTAGTCAAGCTCCAACCATATCGTCAATTATCGGTGGCTAGGAGAGCAAATCATAAGCTTGCAAAGAGATACTTTGGACCTTTTAAAGTGGAGAAGGTGATAAGTTCAGTAGCTTATAAGTTGTCATTGCCAGAAGGTAGTTTAATTCATCCTACATTTCATGTTTCTTTCTTGAAGCCTTTTCATGGAGTTGCAGATGTGAGTTATGAGTCGTTACCCAATTTGTGCATTGATAACAAATCGGTTCAAAAACCAGTAGCCATCTTGCTTCCCGACAGATCAATATCAAAGGAAGAAGTACACAGCAGAAGTTGATTCAATGGTCGACAACGGTCCCTTAAGATGCTTCATGGGAAAATGTAGCTGATATTCTTAGCACTTATCCTGAGATGAATCTTGAGGACAAGATTGCTTTGGAAGGAGGGGCAGATGTTAAGGATGAAGGAACAAGACAGCAGAAGAGGGCAACCAGAATTGAAGGATACCCTGCATGGGCCTTAGATTACGTACAATAGTGAATTGTATAAATTGTATGTAGAATTGTTAGCCCATTGAATTGTTAGTTAGTTGCCAACGTGGCAAGTGCTAGGTGCTAGTATAAATAAATGAATTGTATGAGACAGAGACTATTTTAATACAAACAGTTAGTTGGTTACGTGTTAGTCTGTTAGAGAGACCAGAATTGTTTCACACTTCTACCTCGTGGTGGCTTGTGGGTAGCGACGGAGGATGGTGGTCAATGAACATTGCAAGGCTAGCTGACAGTGGCCGGTGGCAAGCGGGTGGTTACTAGTAGCATATGGAAAGTGATTCAGTGGTGAAGACATGGTTATTTTCGTATTGAAATTACAAAATATGCTTAATTGTTGTAAGTCGTTGAAGGGGGTTAATTATTTAAATTGAAAGTATAAGGTGTTTTTTTTTATAAAGAAAAGCATATAAGTTGAAGGTGGTTTTATATAATTTATTCTATATTTTTTAACAATAGTGTCAGCTGAGTTACGTCTCTTCATTTTAGCTGAGATATATATTGACTATACGAGCTGTAATTTTAAGATAAAGATTTATAAATATGTAAATGATATATGAGTCGGTAATGGAAAACTAACTATTAATTTTACTTTATTTTTTACTAAATAATATCTTGTTAGCTTCCTTCCTAATAGGACATTCAAATTATTTAAAAATTATATTATTCTAGTAATGTAAATAAGTTAGGTTAGGTTAGGCTTTGACTTTAATAATTTAAGACTTTATAAAATATTTAGAGCTTATACTATTAATTTATTAGAGACTTGATTTATAGGCATGACCTGACTTATTGTTAAAAGAGTAAACACCCTTTTTGGTCCCTGGCAATATCTACGAAATTCTTTTTAGGCCCTGGCAATAAAAAAAGATCAAATTGGTCCCTAAAATTATGAAAAAAGGGTCACATTAGTCCTTATGTCAACTCATCCGTCACTAACGTGGCCCTTTTTGCATACTGTTAGGGATCAATTTGGTCCTTTTTTAGTGCCAGGAACTAAAAAAAATTTCGTAGATATTGCCTGGGACCAAAAAGAGTGTTCACTCTTGTTAAAAAAATATAAACCACCTTTCAGCAAAAAGAAAAAGAAAAAACCTAACATGATCTATAAGACCTTTAAAGTTATAAATCAACTTAAAATAAAAAAGATAAAATTTCTTATTATTAAAAGATATTTTTGGCTAGGCTATTTAAAATGAGCGCACGGCTTAATTTTTAAATGAATTTTTACTAAATGCCTAAAGTTATTTTATTTTGTAAATGGACTCTGCTTTATACCATTCGTCTAACCTATTTACACTCTAATAAAATATCGAAAGATTATGTCTATAAAAAAAAAATATATATATATCGAAAGAATATGGCACTGCATTGAATGCGTTCCTCGTATAGTCGTATTGTCGTTCTCATCATTTTATTCGTTAAAATCCGGAAACAAAACTTGTCTTCCACGATACCCAACATCCAATAAGACAATCCTAGGCTACGTATACATCTATCCTTTGAAAAAATTCAAATTAAGTAAAAAAATAAATATATTATATCTAATTTTAATATGATCACATTATTTAAAAATAGATTTCATAAAATGAAAAAAATAAAATAAAAATAAAAAATTACGTTGACTATTAACCATTTAATCTATCAATAAATTTTTCAGAAAGAAGATTCCTTAGAACCATATACAAGAACCAATTAAGATTGGTGATAATGAATAAAAAAGAAGCAGCCATGAGTCCACTAGAAATGGCCACAATAAACACCTCCAAGCTTCACACAGCTACATGCATGTTTCATTGATTTGCGACAGGTCACATGCATGACTACTTCCCTCCACCTCTCCAACAAGTTAACCAAAAGAGGACACAGAGTCACGTACGTTGCTGCTACCCAAGAAAGCTCAGCTTCTAGAAGTAACTTCTTAACGGTTGTATCCGATGATAAAAATTAATGGTATTGCATTGCATGCTATCCACGTGTATCGGTAATAAATCCTGTGAATTTTAAGACTATTGTTTTTCTTTTTATATTTTATCTTGTATATAGTTTCATTTCGAATTATTGATGCTGCTAAATATCATAACCAGTTACGTCTCTTCGTATCAGTAGATATATTAATTGACTATACGAGCTGTAATTTTAAGATAAAGATTTATAAATGTAAAGCAATACATGAGTCCGGTAATAGAAATGTTAATAACAAACTATACGAGCAATATATTGTTTTATGTACCTTCCTAGCTATCACCAAATAACACACACCTACCCCACCACGATCGATATACCACACATTCAATAGAGCAATCCTAGGCCACATATATCCTGTTCTTTTAGATAGTAAATATACTGTGAAAACATTAAGGACCCAATAAATAACATACCTACCACCGCCTATACATACCTTAAAAATAAATAGAACATATACCATTCCTTTTATAGTAAAAATTTAAATTAATGACAAAACAAGAACCAACACAAACAAGTATACGAGTAGTATCAAATTTGAAATTTGAACCTCATCTGAGAGTCATTAGATAAAAAAAGATTAACGACTCAGATTTGTAAACATGTGACACACCATTGATCTTTTTTTATCTAACGACTCTCAAATTAGATGTCAAATTTCAAATTTGACACTGATGTCAAAATATCCTAGCTGGAAGTATATATAATAACAAATCAAGATTGGTGAAAATGAACAAAAGAAGAAGAAGCAACAGGAATCTACCAGAAATGGCCAGAACAAACACTTCCAAGCTTCACATAGCTATGTTTCCATGGTTTGCTACTGGTCACATGACTCCATTCCTCCACCTCTCAAACGAGTTAGCCAAAAGAGGACATAGAATCACTTATTTTCTACCAAAGAAAGCTCAGCTTCAACTACAACACCTGAATCGTTACCCACATCTCATCACATTCCACATTGTCACCGTTCCACAAGTAGATGGTCTTCCTCCAGGCACCGAAACTGCTTCAGAGATTCACATTTCTTTGAACAATCTTCTTGTCATAGCGACGGATCAAATACGCGACCAAGTAGAGCTAGCATTAAGTGCAACAAAACCTGACTTTGTGTTCTATGATAGCGCACATTGGATCCCAGAATCAGCAAAGAAGTTTGGTATCAAAACCATTTGTTACAATGTGGTTTGTGCTGCGAGTTTGGCTATAGCACTTGTTCCTGCGAGGAATCTTCCAAAGTATAGGCCTATTACTGAGGAAGAACTAAGCCAGTCACCATTAGGGTACCCTTCGACCAAAGTAGTGCTTCGTGGTCCTCAAGCAAGATCATTGTTGTTCATATCACTACCATGGGGTGAAGGCAGCACATTTTATGAGCGCATAACAACGGCTTTGAAAGAAAGCGATGCCATAGCTATAAGAACAACCAAAGAGATTGAAGGAAGCTTTTGTGATTACGTGGCATCACAATATGAAAAGCCAGTGTTATTAACAGGACCAGTGTTGCCTGAGGAGGCTGATGGTAAGTTAGAAGAACGTTGGGCTAATTGGCTTGATGGGTTTGAACCTGGTGCTGTGGTTTTTTGTGCATTTGGGTCACAAATCAATTTGGAAAAAGAACAATTCCAAGAGCTGTTGTTAGGGTTTGAGCTTTCAGGGTTTCCATTTTTGGTTTCTCTTAAGGCTCCTAATGGGTGTGAAACTGTGGAAGAAGGGTTACCGGAGGGGTTTGAAGAGAGGGTGAAGGGAAGAGGAATGGTTTCAAGGGGTTGGGTTCAACAGCCATTGATCTTGAAGCATGAATCTGTGGGGTGCTTTGTGAATCATTGTGGGTTTGGTTCTATGTGGGAGTCTTTGATGAGTGACAAACAGATAGTGCTAGTTCCATTTCTTGGTGATCAGATTTTGAATACGAAGCTTCTGGTTGAGGAACTTGAAGTGGCTGTTGAGGTTGAAAGAGGAGAAAATGGGTGGGTTTCAAAAGAGAGCTTGTGTAAAGCCATTAAGTTAGTGATGGATGAAGGTAGTGATGTGGGTGCTACATTGAAGAAGAACCACACTAAATGGAAGGAAACAAAGGGGAGTCCAAAGCTAATGAATGGTTATATTGATAGGTTTATCCAAGATCTTCAAGAACTTCCCAAGTGATTTAATGGTTTTAATTTCAAAATAAAGATGTTGAGAGTGTAATTTGTCTTTTCTTATATTTCTTCTTTCTTAAGAACTGAATGAATTCCTGGTTGGTTTTGTTTTGTGAAAAAACTTTCAGAGAAAGTCAAGGAGGAGGAAGACAATTATAACTATTTTGCGAAAACCTTTTCAAAATCAATGAAAAGAGAAATAATAATGCCGTTCCTTTTATGGTTAAAAACGACAATAAGATAGTATGTTGTTTTATTTTCCATTTAGGGTAAGATTATGTTGGCACCAGAATTCACAGGAAAATAAATGAAACACAACAGATAATTTTCTAGCAAAAAGATCACAACAGAGACAATATATTTGAATGGAATAACGCTATTAAGACAAGTTCAATTTCAAGCAGAAATCAGATCCACAATTACACTGAATTAAGAACTACTGACACTGATTTAAACTACTCCCTCACTTGGCTACCCGATTGAGGAAGAGACTCACATTATTCCTGATACAGTGACTGAGACACTCATGCTTAGTACCACTGCCATACTACCCTTAACCAAATTCTTCTTACCCTTCTCCTATGCCTTAACTAACTTATATCTTGATCCCTTTCTTCCCTCACTCCACGTTGCCCTCTCCATGTGCAGCCTTCCACGTGTCTATCATCCTAACTAACTTCAAATTGTCTAATGCCTTCCTTCTTTGGGCTTTTCGAACTGACTTGCGCGTTGGAACTTTATCAAAGAACTTGTGAGCAGCTTCTAACCCCGCTATTCCCTCCGCATTCGGTCCAGGCCCATTAACCTCAAGACCAACCACCTCAGTTTCCTCCATAATAAGCCCATCCACTCCAACAGGTCCATCAACACCCCCCCCTTCAAAATTCACCTTGTCCTCAAGGTGAAAGGAAGGAAATTGAGATTGAAAATCTGCCAAACCTTCCCATGTACAGTCATAATCTGGCAGGTCTTCCCAATGGACCAGAACCTCCCATTGACCATCCAACGTCCGACGAGTATGGAGAACTTCAGCAGGCTGCACTTGCAGCTCAAAAGAATCTGACAAGCAACTTGGCAGATCCAAGGTAGTCAGTGAAGGATGAACAACTCTTTTTAATTGGGACACATGAAAAACAGGGTGTACCTTTGAATATGAAGGCAGCTCTAACTTGTATGCAACTAGCCCCACCCGTTCCAGTATCTGAAATGGTCCATAGTATCTGGGACTGAGTTTTTGGTTGACACGGTTAGCCAGTGATTGCAACTTGTAAGGCTGGATCTTCAAAAAGACCTTATCCCCGATTGTAAACTCCTCCTCACTTCTTCCTCTGTCCGCCTGTACTTTCATTCTCAGCTTAGCTTGGCACAAGTTCCCCTTGAGTTCTTGCAGAATAGCGTCCCTGGCTTGCATCCAAGTATCCAATGCTTCTACTGATGTAGTAGTTGATGGGAATGAGATGATGGTGGGTGGATCCCGCCCATATAATGCACGAAATGGAGTCATTTGAATTGAGCGGTTATAAGAGGTGTTGAACCAAAACTCCGCCCATGACAACCACTTAGCCCAAGCTTTGGGGTGCCCATTAGTAAAGCAACGCAAATAAGCTTCCAAGGTACGGTTGACCACCTCGGTTTTCCCATCTGTTTAGGGATGGTAAGCCGAGTTAAATCACAGTTTTGTACCGGTCAACTTAAACAATGCAGACCAGAATTTACTCACAAAAGCACGGTCGCGGTCCGAGACAATAGACTTAGGAACTTCATGTAAACGGACTGCTTCCTTCATGAAAACCGCAGCTACATCCTGAGCATCATAAGGGTGTTTCAGTGTCATGAAATGAGCAAACTTAGTTAGCCTATCCACAACCACACCAGGATTGTATCAACGCCCAAGGACTTGGGTAACCCCCCAATGAAGTTCATGGAGACATCATCCCACACTTGCTGGGGAATGGGAAGTGGCTGCAAAAGACCAGCTGGCTTGAGGAGACTATATTTCTGCCGTTGACAAATTTCACACGCTTGAACAAAGGCAGCTACAGCTTTACGCAAACCCTTCCAAAAAAATAGCTGCTAGACGTTTGTAAGTTCGTAATTCGCCTGAATGTCCCCCTCAAGGTGAAGAATGAAATTCCTACAAGATAATAGGGATACGAGTAGAATTTTTGGGGAGAACCAAACGATTCTTATACCACAGGCAGCTGTTAATCACGTGATAACCCGGATGGGACTGAGCATCCAGCAACACTTCTGTAAATATTGTCTTTGTAGAAAGATCCAGCATGATTTCCTCGGACAACATTTGCAAGTCGGGACTGGTAACTAACGAGAGCTTCCTACACTCCATGACGTGTGACAATGCATCAGCCGTTGTGTTTTCTGATCCGAGTTTGTATTGAATCTCGAAATCAAAACCCATAAGCTTTGCAACCCACTTCTGTTGACCTTCCACCATAAGCCTCTGCTCAGTCAAGTATTTCAGACTTCTCTAATCTGTTCTAATGAGGAAATGGCGTCCCAATAAATAATGATGCCATTTTTGAACAGCGAACACAAGGGCCTTTAACTCCCTCTCTTAAACTGACAGTAGCCTATCTCGCTCAAAATTAGCTTTACTCATGAAAGCAATGGGACAACCCTCTTGCATCAACACGGCCCCCATACCCACTCCTGAAGCATCTGTCTCTACCACAAATAGGGTGTTGAAATCAGGTAAAGCCAAGATAAGTAATAACAACATTTCTTTTTTTAGAACCTCGAAGGAAAGTTGTGCCTCCTCTCCCCACACAAAGCTGTCCTTTTTTAATAATTGCATGAGAGGCTTAGCAAGCTGCCCATACTGTTTGACAAAGCGGCGGTAGTATCCAGTTAACCCGAAGAAACCCTTGAGTCCTTTTAAACTTTTGGGAACTGGCCACTGATTGATAGCTACTAGCTTCTGTGGATCTTTCACGCCCTCCTGAGAGATCAAGTGTCCCAAGTACTCCAATTCCTTCCTAGAAAATGTACACTTTTTTTCATTCGCTGAAAATTGATTCTGTCGCAGAATCTCCAACACCCTTTGCAAATGTTCCCTATGCTATTCTTCACTGTGACTGTAAATCAGAATATCGTCGAAGAAAACCAAGACGAATTTTCTCAAAAACGGTTTGAAAACTGTGTTCATCAAAGATTGGAAGGTAGAGGGTGCGTTTCACAACCCAAAGGGCATTACGAAATATTCGTAATGTCCCTCATGAGTACGAAATGTTGTTTTTTCAATGTCTTCCACTCTCATTCGAATCCGATTGTAGCCTGACTTGAAGTCTAATTTTGAAAAATTCCCAGCTCCATATAACTCGTCTAAAATTTCATCAATTATCGGAAGCGGAAATTTATCAGGGATGGTTACCTTGTTCAAATCCCTGTAATCGACGCAGAAACGCCAGCTTCCGTCTTTCTTCTTGACCAGGATCAGTGGACTGGAGTATGGGTTGCAACCGGGTCTAATCAGCCCTACTGCCATCATATCCTTCACAAAATTCTCTATCTCCTCCTTCTGGTAGTAAGGATATCAATATGGGCGAATGTTTGGAATGGTAGCATCCGGTTTCAGCAAGATTTTATGATCGCAGTCTCGAGATGGTGGCAATCCCATTGGAGGTTGAAAAATATCTTTATATTGATGGAGCAGATCAGTCATCAGTGGAGTCATTTCTTGATCACTGTGGATCTCCATAGCATAATATCCCAACTCCACATAGTAACCCTCTTCCTTCTTCTTCCATGAATGGGTCATACCCTTATATGAGAGTTTGCTGCGTGCCAGATTCGGATACCAAAGTGTTGGCACCAGAATTCCCAGGAAAATAAATGAAACACAACATATAATTTTCCAGCAAAAAGATCACAACAGAGACAATATATTTGAATGGAATAACACTATTAAGGCAAGTTCAATTTCAAGCAGGAATCAGATCCACAATTACAGTGAATTAAGAACTACTGACACTGATTTAAACTACTCCCTCTCTTGGCTACCCGATTGAGGAAGAGACTCACATTATTCCCGATGCAGTGACTGAGACACTCATGCTCAGTACCACTGCCATACTACCCTTAACCAAATTCTTCTTACCCTTCTCCTATGCCTTAACTAACTTATATCTTGATCCCTTTCTTCCCTCACTCCACGTTGCCCTCTCCATGTGCAGCCTTCCACGTGTCTATCATCCTAACTAACTTCAAATTGTCTAATGCCTTCCTTCTTTGGGCTTTTCGAACTGACTTGCGCATTGGAACTTTATCAAATAACTTGTGAGCAGCTTCCAACCCTGCTATTCCCTCCGCATTCGGTCCAGGCCCATTAACCTCAGGACCAACCACCTCAGTTTCCTCCATAATAAGCCCATCCACTCCAACAGGTCCATCAGATTATCAGCACCACCTTTTGGTGGAATTTTACTCAGATAGTCGCAACTTTCTTGGGTTATTGCCATAGTTTCATACTCCTCTATACGTCTCTTCTTTGAGAGGACATCCTTCATGAACATTGGGCTTTTACCAAAGGAATGTTAATGTGCAATTGTTTCAGGAGATTAAGGAATTTTCCAAACTGTTTTTCCTCCTCATATTATTTATTTATTCTCTGGGGGAACGAAACAGTGACTCTCGTGTCCATTTTTCTTGATGGTTTCGCAATATGGGATGTTGGCATCCCACATTGTGGTTGTCCTTGCTTATCAGTCACTGATTGTTCTATCCCAGCTGGTGGTGACGTTTGTGTGAATGGTGGTTCAGGGTCAGGGTTACTGACTTTCTTTGATATTGTTTCTTTTCATTCATGATCCTCTGAATTATATTCAGTCACATTCTTTTTTGCTGATGTGACATCCAGATGACTCTTCTTCATCATTGGATTCAAAGTTAACATTTCTTTCAACTTTCTCTTTGCTGACCTTGGGAACGACCTCTGGTTCTCCAATGGTCTTTCCACTCCTTAAGGTAAATTACCTTCACATGTTCTTT